CGTAGATAACTTCAGAGCTAATTCTGTTTACTTTTAAAAATCCTTACGCTCTCGCCTTTGCTTTTACAAAATCGCTATTACTAAAAAGGCCTTCAGGCGGCCGCCAAAGTCAAGTTCTAGAGATACGGTTTCTGATCCGGTTTTGACAATCTTTCAGATCTACATTTTTCCAGGCGGTGTACTGTGGCCTCTGCATTTGCTTTTTGCGGTCATTGTACTACTACTGAACTACTCATATTCACAGAAAATAAACAGGGAAATGTGCACAAAACATCGAGTTCAAGAGATCGAGATGTAGTGTTCTGTGCTTGCCCATGAATTCCATACGGCACGCTGTTTCGGTGGAATGGTGTGCACTCGAACTAGTTCCAAACATACAATGTTAGGCCGAGTGCGAAAGTCAGCCTGAAATACTATTATTGGGGCGATCAGACTATGTCCAACGGAAGCCTTGAATGTCATCTGTCTTATGCGGAAAGAACGTACGTATCGACAAAGGTTAGGTAAGGTTAATCTTGACTGGAAGGTCCTTAGCGTTACTGGTTGGAGTTAGATTATGGCGTTTCACTAGTAATTTCAGCACTATTTTTGAAATGCCTTCTAACTTATCAAATTAATAAGCCCCCAAGAATTTTATTCGTCTTTTTGACAGTGTGGGACGCCGGCTTAGGAGATGCTCTATGGTTTCCCTGGTACCGCTGACAAAACTTCCTGTAACTATCCACGTTTATACATGAGCAGCCACCAGGATATACATCGTAAGCTCTCCGGTAACAACTCTGCAATCCCGTCTGTAAAGCTGTAACAATATGCAGATGGTTAACTCATTCCAAGTGTATATGCATGTCTTTTGTCTCTTCGAGAGCCTTGTATTGGCTTCCCGGCTGCAAAGGACGTTTTTGGATGAAATAATACATTGATTGTCGTTTCTGTATAGGCTAGCTCTGCTGCCATCCTTATAGCGAAATATGCTGAACTGGACAGGTAACCTTACTGCCCACCTGACATTAAGTCCCCAGCAGTATACTCTGGCACCCACTCTCGTTACCATCTCGTTAGAGACCTACAGCTAAATTTCATTGCCTTGTTCCAACCCTTCTTCTTAATCGTTGTGTGAAACCTTTGCTCCCAATTAAAGAAACGTGAGTATCCTGGACTTTTCCTTGTATTCACGAAAAATCTCCCCCCATCTGTCTTACGCTTGTCTTCGTTAAAAATTTCAACATAATGCTACCATAAATGAAAGAATGAGAAGATACAGGGTTTACCAAACGCTTCGAATCATCTCTAATTTAGCATAGACTACCAGATTGGGCCAGTTGTTTTTTAGGGCTGACGGCTTTTCTATCAAAAGGTAGAGGTAAACTAGTTTAAGCCGCTAAAAAAACCGGACAAACTTTGATATTTTCCAGACTAGCCAGACTAGGCGGCGGTAACTGTCTAAAATTGTGGATCTCTTCATATATGTAAAAAGAATACAAGCGCTACAAATTCTAGGAAAATCTCGGCCAAATACTTATGTAGTTAAAGTGTAGGTGCCAAACAATTATTTAGTTAAATGCTGTTGTCACAGGATATTGGACGATCTGAGTAGTAACACTGCAAGGCGTCTATTTTACTGCTTCTATTCAATTGCGTGTTCGTTTTAAAATGACACATATTGGAGTTAATTGGCGTTGTCACACTCGTCACTTGTCACCTATGAAATAACCAATCAACCTATACGGTTATCTTTGCTTTTTATTTTTAGACTGGATTAGGCTTCGGGAAATTATAGAATTTTTTCGGGATTTTTTGATACCGTTCAGGATTTTTTTGGGATCTTTTTTTTTTTTGAAGATTTTTCGAGACTTTATAAAACTGTTAAAATTTTTAACGACTTTTTGGAATCCTTCGGAGTTTGTTATTTGGGAATTTCTATAACCTTTTGGGTTTTATTCAGACTTTTCAATATCTTTTCGGGACTTTTCCGTGTAGTTTCTTCATATTTTTTGGAGATGGTTTGGCATCTTTCGTGCATTTCGGGGCTTCTCAATTCCAAAAGCTACTAATATTTTTTCCTTTCTATTATACTCCCAAAATGCATACCTACTCGGTACGGTAAGTGCATTCGTCTCGCATTTAATATTAATTGTTTTATGAAGATTACTGTAAATTTAATTAAGTAAATATCAATGACCGTTGTTTTGACATATTTCGGTTATTTTCGAAACAGAACACATGCAATAAAAAAATTTGTGCAAAATAAATTCAGTTTGTTTACACTTGTGCGCCTGTTATTAATACAAATTTATACAACTGTTTCAAGGGAGCAAATATTTAAGAGGTTAGTCTGGTTCAAGCCCAGCTTATATACTGCCTCATGGAACGTTGTCAATTTCTGTCTCAGATAAAAAATAAAATGCAATAAAGATATGTATTTCTGACTTTTGCTTGTTTGATGAGCATTTCGCTTTTACATATGAATAAATATTTAAAATTCCCAGTGCTCCAGGCATACATAGTGAATTAGCGAATTAAGCAATTAATTTAGAAATTTAAATTTTTTCTCAAAATTTGCCTATGTCCATAATAGAATTTATGTGAAAAATTTTATTAGTTTTCTATTTTAACTTTGAAAAATGAAAATAAAATAAAATAAAAATGGATAAAATACTCCCTATGATGCATTCTTCGTCAACTGAAGCTCCCTCTCTCCAAAATGGGTTCGGGTCATATCTTTTATATTTTTAAAAGTTCGGTAAAAGTTTACCTTTAAGTGGAGAGTGGCGTTTTTGAAATCCAATAGGGAAAGGTTTTTCCAAATTTATTGAATTTGCTCGAAACTTGTACTTGGAAGTTTTTGGAGTCGCTGATTATGAACCTGGCCATAAATTCTTTAAATTCAAAATGGTGGATCCAAGATGACGGAAAAATATTTAAAAACTTATTGAATTCGCAATATTAGAACCGCCAGTTTTAAATTTAAAAATGTAGGATCGAATCAAATTCGTGATCAGTGACTCGCAAGAAGCTCAGAGTGTAACAATATTTAAAGTGAATCCAATAATATTTCAAAACTATGTCCGCCATATTGGATTTCAGAAACGCCACTCATCATTTAAAAGTAAATATTTTGTACCGAATTTTCAAGACTCTAACCGCGGGGCTTCATTTGACGAAGAGTGCCCCATATATCTATATTTTTTAGAATTGTGTTTATGCATTGACGCTCAAACCGAGATCTGACCCATATAAAAAGCTTCCGAAAACGTTAGCTTTTCCCTTGAGATACGAAATTGCACGATTTTGAGTTCGATCTATTGTTTCATAATTCACAACTACTACTGGTTTAATGGATCCTCTTTTATCTTAAGAATATATAATAATGTTTTGCGGTTTACACTTCTCGAAAAAATAACTATTCTGTCAGAACTGAGGAACGCTTCCATCACAGAATATGTGACCTGAGCCACTTTCCCAGGGGAGTGTGGACTTACCGTCAATCCTGCCATGACCGTAATAGTACTTTTCACGAGGATGTGTAAAATTCCTCAATTCAAATTTCCCATTTTAAACGCGGTAGAACTTACTCTCTCAACCGAAGTCAAATACCTTTGAAAAGAAACTTGACTGGGAGCGAAATATCGGAGGGCGCTCCAGGAAGGTCAATACCACCCTGCATGCCTGTAAGCTATAGACGAAAAATGGGTCATACAACCTCATACACATGTATGTACTAAACATGTAAGTAAACAGCGGCGGTAAGAGCCATCCTCTTTCACGTGGTCACCATATGCTGGCCTCCGCTAAATAAGACGTTGCCCAGAGCCAAGGTGGAACGGGTACAGAGGACGGCTTTCCATCTCGCCGCGGGAGCACTACCCGCTACATCCACCAAATCTCTAGAAATACTCTTAAACCTTAAAATGGTGGATCTCTGCAGCAAATTTCATGCCGGCTGTGGTGCGACCAGTTTAAATACGATCCAGTCTTGGAGAGACCTGAAATTCGGACACGCAAAGGTTTTTCAAACTCTATCGGATAATCTACGACCACTATATTATACCAGTCCTCTACACTGTGGGAATGTGCCACAGTCTTAAGGAAAGATAGTTCCAAACTTAACGAAAGAGTGGGTAGCACGATTTACTCTGGTTAGCTCGCACTAACTCATAACCCCTTTCTGTTGAAAATATTTGGCAGGCATATTTTACTTTTCACGCGAATCGGATCGAATTTAGTTTTATGACCGCCATATTGGGCTCGCCATTATGAATTTTTAAAATCATGCTCTAGGTTCGTAATCAGAGACCTTAAAAATACAATAACCTGATATTACTTTTTCTTTTTTAGTGTTGGGTTCTCCAGTGGCACAAAAGTTGTAAAGCAAAATCTAATTTACGGTTAGTTTAGACGCCATATTTGGGGCGCCATGTTGAATTTTTGAAAAGGCCACACTGGTTTCAATGGGGGGCGCCTACTCCTGGTACTGGTTGACGCTTTAGGGAAATTAATTTTACGTCGCTTCGCGTCGTACAAAAAAAAAATTTTACGTATAAAAGTTGTGAAGCATGAAATTCTCTACAAGTTTGGAATTTCAATATGCTATGCATTTCCAACAGAAATTGTCGAAAAATGGCGAAAACCGTGACAAAGTAAAATTCTTTCGCAGCTTTCGCTAATTATTTACAATAAAAAAGTTTTTTTTTTCATACTTCTATATAACAAACGTGGAAAATTATTTCTCTACAAATTTGTTTTTAACCATTTTTACGAAAATGCAAAATAAGCTTGCTAATCGCAATAAACCAAAAAAAAAACTAAAGTCCAAAATGCCGGAATGTTGCCAAATGAAATTTAGGGGCAAGATTGTGGATCCATGATCTACGTGCATCAAAACTGCATCAAAAAATCGCTGTTAAATTTTATTTTTTTTTGAGGAAGTCTAATTTTACTGTGCTAATGCTAAACAACATAAAAGCAATGCCACTTATCGGGAATTTTTTTCTTTATTTGACTTCTATTTGATAAATTGTGTTAAGCATTTCTAGCAAAATTTCGCTCGGTACCGCATCTGAAGTTTGTTGAATACGTGCTTTGATGCCGTTGTATGTTTCTTCCTCGTATTTGGCGTAGACCCTAGGTAGGTTTAGATCTTCATAAAGTTGCTTGACACGCGCCACCTTTTGTGGATCTGACAAAAAAAGAAACAAAATGTATTTATAAGAAAATAAAAAATATAAATGATTAAATGCATGCACTGCACCTACCACTCTTTCCATAGCATTCCTCCATTACAGCCCTCTGCGCTGGACTAGCTCTCTCCATGCACATTACCGCCAACCAAGTACACTTGTGTTCCTGTATATCTGAGCCAATTTTGCCAGTGATGTTAGTATTCGAAAAGCAATCGGTAAAATCATTTTGTATTTGACAGTAAGTACCCATGTCAAATGTTATGGCTTCACACTCATCTAAAACCTGCTGATCCTTAACGCTGAAAGAGTACATTACTGCAAAGTTTAATTTCATCCGTGATTGTAATTTATACCCACCCAGCTAAGTGCAAACCCAGCGCAACGGGTAAAAAGAAGAAATGTTTGCAAGTCTTATGCAAGGCAATCGAATTGAATGTATCCATATTGAATTCGGCCACATTCTTTTTAGAAGCTAGCAAATCTAATGACTGCCCAGTTATACATACGAAGGTGCTCCAGCGAAACAATTCGATTAGATCTAAATAGCAATCCAAATGACGAAAATGTTTCTTGAGTAGTTCATATAGACCATTTTCAATCATCAGCATGTCGTTGATGGCATTAAGCCCGACTTCCTTCAACTTATGCCAACATGGTTGGCCACGACGTGCGAGGCCGCCGTCCACCATATCGTCGCTCATGAGAATTATACAATGGTGCTGGAAAACAACGAAAAAAAGAAAAAAAGAAAAAAATAGAAAACGTTTAGTTGGTGAAAATCAAATAGAATGGGGATATGAAAGTTACTTGGTCTAGGCTAATAAATACTATGTATACTGGGGTAGAAAGCACGAGGGTAACATAATACTACTATGGACAAGTATTTACATACCAATTCAATGCACCAGCCAAGCAAATGAGCGAGCTTTAATTTTTCCGCGGTGAGCTGATCGCTATTGACTACACTTTTGTAAGTCAAAACGGAGACTAGACTATTTTTCGTACTCGTCACCGATATATTGTACTGTAGAGCCTGTGGCGAGCACGTAACAAAGATTTAATAGAGATTTGAGCTCAGAAAAATTTATATTCTCTACCTTTCTGAACCATTCTGCAGCCTCCTTACTTTTGTACCTTTCAGCTATCAATGTCAGGTCTCGCACGACTTCTGTAAAAATGAATAATTATAAATTTAATTTGCTCCCGAAATAATTATTATAATATAAATTATCATTATACATACATATGTATGTAGAGCTACATATAGTCTGGGGATTGCATAGCAGGGCCGACGTATCCCTGTTTATGCTATAAAGATAGATGCAATACTTTGCGCGGGATTACGTCAGTTTTGCTATGAGGGTAAAATGATAAGCCAGTGACTTCTTGAATTTTCCGTGTAGCAATTTAAGTGCAACACAGCTTCTACCAACAATCATCCGTTAATATGCTGCCGTCAAATTTTGAGCTAGCTGCCTCATTTAGTTTGTGTTTGACAGTCATTAAAAGCGGACAACCTCGTGAATTTAAAGTTTTTTACTGCGAATTTTTATTTCGGATTGGGTATGCAGTGTTATAGCCCATTCAATTCTAGTAGCCATAAAGTACAAGTTTCAGGTAGCAACAAACAGCCATTGATTTTTTATATACATTGTTTTTCTGGCGGTGTTATGCTATTTCTGGTCTGTGCGATGTTTTTTATTTGGAAGAAAATGAAAAGCGCTTCCCACCAAAAAAAAATTGCCAAAATTCAATTTTATTATACTAAGATTATATGGGCTATAAAACTACATACCCAAACACCTTTTAAAAAGTCTAATTAAAAAGCTCAAAATTTTTATGAAAGTTTGTTGAGTTTGCACAAAGTTTGAAACTTGGATTAATACGGTTTTTGCTAAATAATAAACTATATTTTTATAACAAATAGCTAAAATGAACAAAAAAAGAATAATCTTAAAATTTGCCTATATGCGGTGCGATTATAATTATGACATGGTGTGTCTACTTTAACAGATTTTGCTTCCGTTTTGTTTTTAATACCTGGAAAAACAGCCATATATTCAGTGATCTCTGTTTTGGACATCATCGAGCGTGTATTTCTTTTCCCACGGGGACTTTCCACAGTTGATAGTGGGCTAGAAAAACAAAAACGAAAAGTGAAATATTTAGTGCCGGTTGTTCAATGCCTGATTAACACAAATCGGCGGTAGAAGCTCCGGTTAAAAAGAACAACTGCTTTATCGATCACATGTTATGTATATGCATGACGTCCAAATCGCCGATAATGATGTACTGGTGATAACCAGACATTGATGAACAACTGGCCCTTAATCTAGGTTTTCTTTTAAACTGGAAAAAGCGTTGAAATCTTCAAAAATTTGTATGAAGGTCAACTTTTCTCACCTTTTAACCGACTTCAAAAAAATTAGGAGGTTATCAATTCGTCGGAATATTTTTTTTTCACATTACAAGAGATGCCCTAACTTTTAATTAATTTTTTAATTGGAGTTGTAAAGAACCAAACTTTTAGTAATTAAGGGAATATTCATACATACTCCCATAATTCTTTACACTAGGAGTGCCACACAGATTTCCGAAACGGTAATCTTGAGGGACATTTGTGATTTTGGTGAAGTGTCAAATTCAAAATTTTGTTCTTTCGATTCTGTAACAGATTAGTTGATACCAAGGTGTATTGCCAACTCAGTGCGGCTTTCTTTTAAGGTACTATAATATCAAAAAATATAAACAAACGATTCAAAATTCATATAAATTTTTTTCAATTTGACATTATAAGATGGTTTTTATGAGAGCAATGTCAATGTCCCAGGTCAAGGATTGCAAATATCGATTTCATGCAATTTTCTCGTAAACGTTAAGTATTATAACGAAAGTAGATAAATGAGAGATGTAGATTATAAATTTTTCTGCAATAATTGTTAAATAACTCTTTCCTACTAATCAGTATTGCTGAGTTATCGCGATTTCTAAGTTTGAAGAACTCATATTCTTCATAGACTATTCGAGTGGAATAGGTGCTTTACCTGAAATTTGAATTTCTTCAAGTCTTTTTTCACAAACCATTACACACTTACCGGATTGATCTGCCAAGAGTTTTTTGGTGCATCTCTCGAGTAGTGTCTATGCCATCGCCAAATGACCGCTGAGAATGCGTTTTGCAGTTGATCTTATCGCCGCATGCGATAATTGCTGCGGCCACTGTTGGATGCTTTCGCGAAAATTTACGCAATACTGAAAGCATTTTCTATTCTGATCCTTTAAAATATCTGCCAAAAAGCATTTTAATAGAATCTTGTAACTTTTCTAATTATGATGACCACTAAATTTAATTCACAAAAATTATGTTGAAAATTGCATTATATAAACGTTAACATGTACATTTGTGCGGATCGTTCCCCATACAAAAAAAAAAGTTTTTCCAGTCCACCCCTAGGATTAAAGATATTTTGAAGGCGATCCCAAAAAAAATTTTTTTTTTTTGCCACGCCCCCCGATGGGCTATATACTTTTTTTGACACTACGTCGCCATTTTAAGTCCGATTTTAATGAGCCGTACACCGTTGTTCATGGCTTGGAAGCCGCCACAATTCTTACCTTAATCATTTTTTACTCCGAGTTCAAATTCTAATAGTGACTGTCGGTATCTCGTTTCACATCATACCCTAAATTCCAATTTTTTTTAGTCTGTCGAAGGGGCCTTTAAATTCTGTGAAACTTTTTCTAAAAAATGATTAAGGTAATAATTGTGGCGGCTTCCAAGCCATGAACAACGGTGTACGGCTCATTAAAATCGGACTTAAAATGGCGACGTAGTGTCAAAAAAAGTATATAGCCCATCGGGGGGCGTGGCAAAAAAAAAAAAAATTTTTTTGGGATCGCCTTCAAAATATCTTTAATCTTAGGGGTGGACTGGAAAAACTTTTTTTGTCGATCCACCCTTATGTACATACACTTGTGGTCAGCTGATTAGGTTAAGTGAAATTTTTACCAGTTTTGGCTATTTTTTTTTTATAAAAGTCTAGCACATTTCTAACTTTGTACAAACATTGTAAAAATTCAAGAAACTTTACCAATTTTCCCCAAAAACTTCAAACTTTTTATTCAAAATTTTTAGATGTATGCTCAAAAATTTCACCGTTAGCTAAAAAAAAAAATATTAAAAACAAAGCGATTTCCTATCGTCTTGAAATTTGCACTTAAGTTTAATTGGCTATAAAACTGCACCTTTTAAATTATTCCAAAAATTCTGAATAAAAAGGTATACATTTTTTGGAGAAATTGCTAACGCTTGTTGAGTTTTTATAATTTTTGTACATGGTTTGAAATGCACATGTCTGAATGTACATAGTGTTTGTTATATAATGTGCCAGACTTTCATAAAAAAATACTAAACATTAAAAAAGCAAAAGAAAAATAGCCAAAACTTGACAAAAAGTCAGCTGACCACAAGGGTTTGTACATATAGGGTGGAGCGGAATCAAAAAAATTTGCGTTTCGAAATTTTAATAGCTGAATCTTTGCCTTTGGACGTCAATAGAATATCCCTAAATTAATTCAATTAATACTTTCTGCATCCCCTTTTTGATTAAAAATTTGAATTTTTTTGAATTCTAAACAAGTGATATAATTTATTAAATTCCTCTTTAGATAAATTTTAGGTATGACATTTCGTACGTCACAAAATTTTAGAATAATAAAATGCAAGTTTGAAGCAGCTGGTAACTGTTTGAATTTTTTTTTATGAAGGTGTTCCTCATATTCTTTATATAAAAACATTTTCGAAAGTACGGGTACTTTGTTCCATACAAAAATACCACAAAAAAATAAAAAATTGTCAAAAATCAGTGGTATTTTTAACCACTTTGAACTTGCTCTTTATTATACTAAATTCAATGGCCTACAAAACTGCATAGCTAGGACTTTTTCTAAAAATTATTTTAATAAATTACGTTACTTGTTTAGAATTTACAAAAATTTCAAAATTTCAATCAAAAAGAGGAGAAGAAAGTATTACTTGATTAAAAAATGAGAATTACTCTATTGATTGCAACGATCCCTGCTAATAAAATTTCGAAACGCAAATCTTTTATTCTCGCCACCCTAATGCATATTATTGCGATTATTTAAGTAAAATGTGCCCTTACGTTATTGCTATGAAAAAACTGCTATATTTTCTTTTTCATCTTTATTTATTCAGGTTTATTCCTGGCCAATCTATATCTATATAAGGTGGTGTTGTTTCATCAGCTGTGAGTAGCGTTTGATTGTCAAGATTTCTTATTTCGCCAATGAGTGAGTGAAAATGTGAGAGTGTTTGTATTTTCTGTCGCCCTTTTTCATTTGGTAAAGAATAGCTAACATTTGACAATGGCCCGTTAAAGCTTAAACAGGCGGACTTAATCCGGATCAACCGCAGTTAATTCCCGAGTTGATCCGGATCAACGCTGCCGTCTGTTCATGCATTTAAAGGCAAAAACAAAATACAAGTAATTGTTGTATTTGTTGAACCGATAGCACCTTATGTAAATTCGCCTTGGGTTTACTTATTCATAATTTTTGTTTTTCGTTTTGCCTACCTGTTTTAAATTAATTTGTGTTTTCAGTTGTCACTCCACGTTCGACGTCCGGCGAAGACAAAATATAACTGCGTGGTGTACTCAAAATATAAACCCTTTAAATTAAAACATTTATTAGTTCACTCCGCACTCGCATCGGGGTGGCAGATAACTGAATTTGCTTTTGTAAATATTTACTAAAAAAAAATATAGCAATAACATTTTTGCCACACTTTCCTTGCAATTAGATGATCCCAGATAATTTCATGGCCCATATTTAATAAAAATGCGAAGGCTAATGCCACATTTGCTACGCATCAATCAGTTGTCAATTTTAATGATTGATGTTGAAACCTTTTCAGTTATTAAAAGAACTTTATATAAGCGGTGTTATTGGTGACTGCGGAAAATAGCAAAAACAAAACGAGATGCCAAAGCTTTATTCACTTTGAGCGGAGACCCAGACATTGACATAGAAAATAATTAATTGAGTTTTCTTCTTCTCATTCCGACAATTTCCGTAGAGGGGAAGGTGTTCTTTCTTTCTATTAAAACTGGACTGTAAAAATCTTAGGAACACAAATTTAAATGGCTATGTATCATTTGTTATAGGCTAAGTTTATATTGGCACATTATCTTCTATAGATATAAAAATTGGTTACTCTATAGAGGTTTTCATTTATAAGCACTGTTTGGCCTTAGGATACTTCATTCCGTACAATATTGTTATAACACTCTTTATATAGTAGCCAGATAACAGTAAGAAGTTCACGGAAATCGCTGCCACGTTTAGAATACTTTTTACCTTTTATGAATTTATGTGTCGGGTATAAAATTTTCGGTTCGGCCCGAACTTAGGTTTATGGTTCGATTATATAAAACAAATGTTAATATGACGATGACTACACTTTTAGAAAACTAAAATACCGCATTAACAAAAAAGAAAGAGGACCTAGATCTACGTGAGAGCCTTCTTATCGAACTACAGAAAAATTCAACTATGGGAAGCTATTTTCTTAATAGCGGGTAATAATTTTCGAAGTTGACCGCACTAGAATCCGGCCCCACACAAAGCTCAATAAGCACGCAAGTGAAATAATATTAAAGTTTTAAAGGGTTATTTCCTTTTTATTTGATATTTCTTTCAGAAATAGTATTCAGTATTTCTAATAAAGCTTCACGCGGTAAAGCGTCCGATTCTTGGCGAATAAGTGTATTAATCCTATTATATGTTTCTTCCTCGTATTTGGCATAGATTTTTGGTAGGTTTAACTCTGCATAGACTTCCTTAACACTCGCAATTTTCTGGGGATCTGAAATTAGAAAAACTTTATTATGTACATATCGCACACGGTATTCAAAAGAGTTTTTGAGATTATGCGCTACAAATGTACACCGAGCTTTTATTAACCTTTGAGCAAAAGCCGGAGCAAATTTTTGTACGAATATTGGACTGTACTCAAAAAAAAATTCGCCGTTACCCCCGAGCATAAAGTATTTTTTGGACACAATTTCGAAAACAAATTTTTTGGATTTTTTGCCGAATGCAGGGGTCGCCTTAAAAAATTTTTCCTCAAATCTTCGGCATTGCAGTCGGATTTTTAAGTACGATATATTAATGTTCTTGTCTCAAGACGCATTTGTTTTTATTTTAAAGTTTATTGACGTCAAATACCACGTTCTAGTATTAACTCACTAGATCTTAGTTCCTCCTACCCTAAAGTGTTACCCTAATATCAGTAAATTAAAGCTCGTCAAAAAATTATTAAACCTTTGCTAAGAAAGTATTTTGAATATACTTGCAGCAAAAGCAAATTGCCGAATGTAGATACATAGATCAGGATGTACAGATTGTCTAAAAATAAAGCGCAATTTCATGAAATCGACTTAACAAATCTTTTGTTTTAAAAATGAGAACTTGTTATAATTTTGTTTTTAAAATCAAAAACGAATATAATAAATAGCACACATCACTTATATGTATAATAGTGATGTACAAACAATTTTCTTAAAAAATACGCATACTTTTTAAAAATATTTGTATCAACACATTTTGCAATAGGACTGTGCAATTCTTAAATTTATTATAACTCATATTAATTGATTAATCGCACAATCCGCTTTCAAGCGCAACAAAAGCATGTTCGGCAAGTATAATAATAGGAAAGCTACTTTACTAATATTTTGTATATTTTTATAATTGGAAAAAAATTTATTTGAAGGGAAAAGTCGCCAATGGCGATTTGCTAAATTTTTACGCGTAAATATAAAAAAAAAATCGCCAAATTGACGCTAAATCGCCAAATCTGGACACTCTGTTATAGATGTCAGCGAAAAACAAAAAACCGGCGACATCTAATATTAAGAATAGTTGGCGCTTATACAATATATTAGCATACATTAGACAGAGGAGTGTATGGGCCAATTTTTTCGTTTGCTTGGAAGATGGTACGGTACATAGGTAACTGCGGACGTTTGACAAAGCAACTTCTCTCGAGTGACATCATTTTCTCTTCAAATCAGTAGTTCATTGAGTTCTCGAATGATATTTTTATGTTTAGCCATTAATAGGAGTAGCTCAAGATCCTAATTTAATGAAAGTAAAATAAAAATGTAAAATTTTTAAATGGAAGTTCCCTACAATTTACTCTAAATTCCAACCTGTAGAAAGCACAGAGGTTGTTTTGTCTAAAGTCCGCAGATATGAAAAGCAAAAAAATCAATTAAATAGTTTTCCAAAACACTTATTAAACGTCTGTACTTAAATATGCTTACCATATTGACCGTAGCACTGTTCCATGATAGCTCTCTGTTCAGGACTTGCTCGCTCCATACACCGTACCGCCAACCAGGAACACTTATTCGCTTGTATATCTGTGCCAATTTTGCCAGTAACATCAGGATTACCAAAACAATCGAGAAAATCATTTTGTATTTGAAAGAACTGGCCCAGTTCAATTGTGATAGCTTCGCATGCATCGAAGATTTTCTTATCTTTTACGCTGTGTACATATGTATGTATATATATAGAATAATAAAAGAAATTACTTTAAGATTTTCAAAATTTCGATTACTCTTCCTCTTTTGCTGCTCACCCCGCTAAATGTAAACCCAACATTATGGGCAAGTAGAAGAAGTGGTTTGAAGTTTTATTCATCACAACCGTGTTGTAAATGTCCATATTGAAAGTGTCGACACTCTTTTTACTAAGCAGCATATCCAATGATTGTCCAGATATGCATTTAAATGTATTTTCATGAAATAATTCAATCAAATCGACATAACAATCCAAGTAACGGAAATGCTTTTTGAGTAATACGAATATGCAGTTTTCGATCATTAGCGCGTCATTAATGGCATTTAGGCCAACTTCTTCTAATTTATGCCAACACAACTTGCCACGACGTGCAATGCCATTGTCTACCATATCATCAGCGATTAGTAAAGCACAATGTTGCTGAGAGGCAATTGAAAATGTAGAAAATAAAACTAATTCTTAGATATCAAACATGCCATTCTCACCAGTTCAACACACCAGCCAAGCAAATTCGCCAGTCTTAATTTTTCTGCGTTCAGTTTATGGCCTTTGACTAAGCTTTTGTATGTTAAAACAGAGATAAGGCCACATTTCCCATTCGTTGGCGACATATTATAATCTACAGCCTATAAAATGTTTTAGTCTAACTTCCCCTATTTGGAAATTTAGTATTTGTATTACCGTTATTAGCCCATCTGCAGCGTATCTACTTTTGAATTTATCAGCTATCAGGGTCAGGTCTTGCAAAACATCTAAAAATGCAACAGGTTATTGAATGTTTTTTGATTCAAATAAGTTCCTTAACCTTAAAAGCCCAATCTACTTGAAAGTTACGTAAAGCCCAAACGTATGTCTTAGAGGCGTAGGTGACTTAAAAGACAACCTGTCAGCTAAAATATACTTTGTTCTGCCCAATTTTATTTAAGGAAATATTGAAGTTGTGATATAAGCTAATAACAAAACATAGTTTTATTAATAAAAACGACAATCACATTTATGTTAAACAAAAAAGTGTAAAGGCACTTTTGTATACAAATTAAAAAAATCCCGATTGACGTAGATTGGGCTTTTAGGGTTAGAGAAAAAACCAAGGCGAATTTATATAAGGTGATGGTACTAGATCAGCTGATTTTGTGTTTCGCCTCACGACTGCTAATTTCAAATTGTAAAATTTTGTTTGATAACTAACAAAATAAAAATGATAAATAAAAATGCTATCAACTTATATTAATTCGTCTTGGAAAAAACTTTATTTTTTTAAACTTGATTATGCGATCAGAAATTTATTTTCGAAATATTGATTACTGAGAAGTAGAATCATCAAAATCTTTAGTAGGGGTACTGAAAATAAAAAATGTTCTTACAAATATTTAGCATATACGGAGAAGATCCTGCTTTGGAGCCATTTCAGATTGATGATTATGTTCAAAAGCTATGTAAATATATATCAATTTATAGTTATGCCGGGTTTGAAAATAGAAATTAAGTTTGTTTCTCTCAAATGACAGCCTTTTTTTCAATGTCTGGTGGAAATTTGGCATTAAATTTATTAACATAAATGCCCCTTGATTTTTGATATCAAATTGGTCCTTAGACTAAATTAAACATATTAATTAATTGTATGCCATACATACCTGGGTAAATGGCCATAAATTCACTTCTTTCATCTTTTGACATCTTTAAAGGCGTAGAAGGATTTTCCAATATTGATAAAGTACTAAAAATAATATTTAAGATATCATATTTGCATGCAGTAAATTGCACATATTAATTTTTTATTTTATTTTTTACTTATACATAAATCAGCGTCAAGCTAAAAAGTTTATAGACAATTCTTGTTTCATGACTAAGGCCTGACTTAAAAAATAGTAATAATGAAAAAGGACTAGCTTTATTTGAATATTGACAAAAGACACCAGGGATCCACACAAAAGTTATATGGGAAGTACTTTGAAGCCACTCTCCAAAAATAACTCAAGCAAGTTTAGGGATAAATACAGAAAAGGCTACACGAATTACCTTGAGTTGACAAACAAACTGTTGGTTGAAGAAAGGGCCCAGTACCCCGCTTTACGTATGTATGCAAAGAAATTCTAGTCCTTATTTGAGGTCTGCGTCCTGCTCTGATGCTGTGGTGTGGTGAACGGCATTCAGAAAATCTACTTACCTTCAGCCTTAGGAAAGGATACAACGTCTGGCTGTCAAAATGCTGAATAAAACCCTAACGGCTGATTTTGGAAAGGATACTGAATCTGCCTGCCCGATAAATGCCAGTAGACCCCGATTTGGAAAATATTGCAATCATAGTGAGCTGTAAGGACTATTGAATTCAGCAAAAGAATCTGTGGAGATACTAACTCAGTGAGCAATAGCGATGGGTGTAGTACACACTGCATGGCTACATATCTCAATTGGACATGATCTAGTATAAATAATTTTAAGGCAATATTTCCTGCAAGAAACAATCTGTGGTGCTTATGTATATTTTTAAGGCAAAAGACGGAACAATTTTAAACAATTTTGAACCGAATCTTAGTGGTAATCATTTTCGAATAAAACACAAAAACGGTTCCGAAAAAAGCCTGAAAAATTTCAACAGTTTAAACTATTCCGCGCTGGTAGCAAAATTTTCGTAACGGGTAGATTCCTTGTTTCAGTTTTTGTTAATAGATTTTTTAAATTTTTCGGTGACAAAATGTTCGGCAAATGTTCGGTCTTATATGTTTGAAAAAAAATATATATATCACAAAAGCCTAACACCGCATGACTGATAAGAATTTCCAGAAATAGTAAAAAAAAATTTTAATTAATATTTACTTACCGTTTTGATATGCCCAGTTGAGTTTGATGTTCTTTCCGAGTACTCTTAATCAAATCCCCAGTATTATAATTATTAGATTCGAATATACCCAGATGATGTGATATTTGCCGAAGGGGAAGAGTTTTATTGTTTAGGTTAATACCACAGGCGTTAACAGTGGTAGCCACATTAGAGTGTAGCTGTGGCTGTCTAAGTATTATTGAAAGCATTTTTGTTGTATGATTCTACGAAATAACAAGTGAAACTAATGTGAAATTACATATACATATTTTGAACAAAAAAATCTTAACCGTTGAGACGACCGAAGGGTCTAAAGGGGTCACTTTTGAAAATTCAAGTCTTTTGTATATATTTGTATTAAAGAAAAAAATCCACTTAGTTACAAAAATAATTTATAGTGGCTATTTTTGAAAAATATTAGCATACTATATTTTTTTCAATTGAAAACCTGAAAGGTTTGAATTTCCTAATTGGTCTGCGGATAAAGTCAAGAGCCTTTTGCTTAATGTCCGATTATCGCAAACCGGAGATAATAAAACGACTGCTTTATCGATCACATGTTATGCATATGCATGATGACGAAAACGTCGATAATGATGTTTAACTGGGAGATAGTTAACACTAACTACAGGTTAAACATCGTTATTGACGGTATCGACTCCCTGTTATACATATCTTATAGAATTGATCAGGTCGATAAAGATGTTTAACCTGCAGTTAGCGTAAACCAGATATTGAGAAACTGGCCCTAAGAGGATAAGCCTTTGGAGCATCAAAATTGTAGACAGCCTTTTGTTTTCTCTCTTTATTGAGTTCTGTCCACATGGCGAATAGCTTACTAGCGATAGTACAAAAAATTGACGAATTAAATTCAAAAAAACTTTATTTTACACGCCTTTGATAGTCTAAAAAAGGGCAACATTTAAAGGCCTTTTTAAATTTAATTTTTAAGAACAAAATTTAAAGGTAAAAAAAAAACCAATTCTAGATCCGAAAAGCACTTCGATATCTAAAGGCGAAAAGGTGCCAAGTCTACCTTTTTCCAAAATTTAGTTTTTGATGTAGAATGACAGATAATGCGAAACTACGGCGATTTTTCATCTCTGCTGCACAATTTCAAAAGCTGGACGTAACAACTTTAGGTAACGACTTACTTTTCCTTTATTCTATATTTTTGTTAATTTCTAAGATAATTAATAACACAAATATGGTTGTTCGAAAATAGTTTAAAAAATACCAACAACAAAAAGTCGATTTCAATACTTCACTCACAGGCAACGACTTTGACCACCTGCAAAGCAGTTGTCGTTGGTTTTTTGCAAAAATAAAAGACACCGTTATTTGACTTGAATTTTTCTTGATCAAATACCATGGACAAATAGTTTATTCTTGTAAGTACGAAAAATGAGTTTTTGCCACAAAAACTGATCAATTTACCTATAGTGTATTGCTGTTATAACATATAGACGCACAGCACAAATTTGTAGAAAAGTTCGTTCAAACACTTAGCTAAAATGTGAGCGCAATTATTTTTTTTTTAATTTTCTATTTATAAATATAGTTTGCTAGAGTACATAAAAATTTAAATCTTACGGAAATTTCAACACTGTTATTAACATCTTTAATCACCTTTTCTTACAATTATTTTTTTTTAGCTTTAAGTATTGCTTATTTTTTTGTTAATTGGAATTAGAATCACGTAGCATGCGAAATGCGCGAAAGACAAAGTATAACTGCGGTATGAATTTATAACACCGCCCGCTTTAATATAAAATCCATGCCCCAGCTTGCTCGCTGAGCACAACCGAATTGCAATGCAGCGATGCCAGCTTGCGCTTCAGTATAGAACGATTCATAATCATATTAAATCATTATCCTTCCATTTAGAATAGGGCTGCCAGACGTCCTGATTTTCCAGTACTTGTCCTGATTTAAACAAATTGTACTGGTGCCCTGGTTCACACCTAAATTGTCATAGCTTTTTAATGATGGTCAATGCAGACACCTATCAATTTTTTTTCTTTGAAAGAAAAGCATTAGTAGTCTAAAATCTATAATGAAAAATTTTTTCTAACATGTTGTACATATCTGGTGAGTTTATCTTCTTTCTGTTTAGTTTCTTTGGGTAAAATCTAATTTTGTATCATCTGGCAAATGCCAAAAAAGTGCAAGTTCCTGAACAGAAACACGGCTGAGGGGTCACACATACTACGCAGTAGATAATTTCAGGGGTTAAAATCTCTACCAAAAGGACTTTCTGAAATACATTCCTTTTTCCTTTACTTTTGGTACGGAGTGGCACAAATTGAAGGGCTTCTGCTTTCGCTACTCAAAGAAGAGCTTTCAAACAAACTTTTATAGGACAAACTTCAGAAGGCCTTTTGAAGAAGTTCTTTTAAAGCTATATTTACGGTTCGGATCAAATTTGTTTTATTGAGACTTACGGCCCAATTCTGTGTTTTCTTGATACATTTTTTGTAAAGAAATTTTATCAAGATTTTTATCAAGTAAAAGCTTCCTTCGTATTCNTTCCCTCGTATTCTGTGTCAATATTTATAAAACAAAAAGCTCTACGATTTCCACATAAGTGGAACTGATTTCCACATGTGTGGAACTGATTTCATTGTCACATATGAAAAATATGGATTTAAAAGCAACAAAGCTTTTGACTGTCGTAGCCGAGTAGCTAGAGATGTCGACTATAATTCTGTGTGTAGCAGGTTCAAATGCCAGCACATGGAGTATTTAATTGTTAGAAACAAATTTATTAATATACAAAATGTATACATTTCACATGAAATTTCAATTTGTCAATAGCATTTTCAATCTTGATAATTTATCAAGAAAAAAGCTTTTGGTTTCTGTGCTAGAATACCAATTCTTGATAAATAATAAAAAAATGACAAATTATAAAGATTTTCAATTTATCAAGTGCACAGAATCGGGCTGTTAAAATGCTTATTGAATTCTATTTGTAATACTAAACAATATAAACAAAATGATCATGAAGCGCATTGTGGGACATGTAGAAATTTTCTAATGGTAGTAAGCAAGTATTCAATACGTTACGTAAATAGAAATTTGTTTTTTTTTTATGAGTAACATAATCATAATTTGAGCGTTTCATCATAATCAATCATTCGGCTCTACGGATTGTGCCACTAAACCACACTGTTTATAATATCAGAAAACACTTCAAAATAACGCCAGTACCAACGAAACTGTATTTATAGGGAATAAGTGTCCTGGTCGATGGTTCAGAATTATGGCAGCCCTAATTTAGAAATAAATTTTAGGTGAACCTAGATAATTTTAGAGCAAAGTTTTATTAGTTCTGATAAACTTCAAATCATTAAATATACACAAATGTATATGTATGTACGCACATATAAATACTGTACCAAGAATTTGTGCTTACAAAGTTAATACGAAAGCGGGAATAAGGGCCCGTTACTAAATGTTTGGTTAACGTTAACTACACAAACGCTTCTCACACAAAGCTCAAAGACACTTAAAATTATTTTATTTTTATTTGATATTTTTTTCAAAAAGTGTATTCAGTATTTCTAATAAAGCTTCACGCGGTAAACCATCCGATTCTTTGTGAATAAGTGTTTTGATCCTATTATATGTTTCTTCCTCGTATTTGGCATAGGTGTTGGGTAGGTTTAACTCCATATAGACTTGCCTGACTCTCGCAATTTTCTGGGGATCTAAAATGACAAAATGTGATTACATATTGTATGTTAACTTATGCATGTGTGAGTCAATATGTATGAAAAGCAAATTTGTTTAATTGAATAGTATTCTAAAAATCAATTCCGAATATAAAATGCATACATGTACTTAAATTCAAACACTTGCCATATTGACCGTAGCACTCTTCCATGATAGCTCTCTGTTCAGGATTTGCTCGCTCCATACACTGCACCGCCAACCAGGAACACTTATTCGCTTGTATATCTGTGCCAATTTTGCCAGTAACATCAGGATTACCAAAACAATCGAGAAAATCATTTTGTATTTGAAGGAACTGGCCCAGTTCAATTGTGATAGCTTCGCATGCATCGAAGATTTTCCTATCTTTTACGCTATGTAGATATGTATAGATATATATATATAGAATAATAAGAGAAATTACTTTAAGATTTTCAAAATTTCGATTACTCTTCCTCTTTTGCTGCTCCCCCCGCTAAATGTAAACCCAACATTATGGGCAAGGAGAAGAAGTGGTTTGAAGTTTTATTCATCACAAGTGTGTTGTAAATGTCCATATTGAAAGTGTCGACGCTCCTTTTACTAAGCAGCATATCCAATGATTGTCCAGATATGCATTTAAAGGTATTTTCACGAAACAATTCGATCAGATCTACATAGCAATCCAAGTGACGGAAATGCTTTTTGAGTAATTCGTAGATGCAGTTTTCGATCATTAGCGCGTCGCTAATGGCATTTACGCCAACTTCTTCTAGTTTTTGCCAACACAACTGACCACGACGTGCGGTGCCATTGTCTACCATATCATCAGCGATTAGTAAAGCACAATGTAGCTGAGAACCGATTGAAAATATACTTATAAAAAATAAAACTCTTTTTGGATATCAAACATGCCATTCTTACCAGTTCAACACACCAACCAAGCAAGTGCGACAGTCTTAGTTTTTCTGCACTCAGCTGATCGTCTTTGACTAAGCTTTTGTGTGTCAAAACAGAGATTAGCCCACATTTCCCATTCGTTGGTGACATATTATAATCTACAGCCTATAAAATGTTTTAGTCTAATTTCTTTCGTTTGGAAATTTAATATCTATATTACCTTTCTTAACCAATCTACAGTTTCTTTAGTTTTGGATTTCTCAGCTATCTGGGCCAGGTCTTGCAGAACATCTAAAAAAGCAACAGGTTACACAAGGGAACAAAAATGGGTGAAAAACCTTGTTGCGGCAAATGTTTGAGCGGTTTTTGTTTGACTTTTCTGTGCTTATTACGAATCCATGAGTATAAAGTTTCCATCAGCTCCAGATTTTGAGAAAAACGAGGTCAAAATGTAAAGAAATCGCGTTTTTTTTGCAATATTTTAGAAGCTCTAGCAAAGAAACAAAAGGCGATATTAGGCTTAAATTAAAGCTAGAAGTCTCCCTTATATATATGACTTATAGTCATTTATTGAAAAGCAAGACCTGATAGTGCCTTCCACTTAGGCTCAAATTAAGGCTTGAACTTACGACTACAATCTTGTAAAATACCATACCTGAACTTTAACCCAGGTCACTTATAATTATTTATTTAACAGCAAAAACTGATTTTGCCAAAATTTTATTTTTATTTTCAATAGCACAGTATTCCAGTATTTTTATATTGTTCAATAAATGACTATTAGTGACCAGCAGGTCAAGGTGCAAGGGGGCATAGTATTTTCAGGGATGGTAGCCGAGAGTTATAGCTTTAATTCAAGCCTAAGTGGAATGTTCTATCACCTTTTGTCCTTACCACTTCACTGACGGATCTCCCTTGCTTTAACAAAGACGTGGCCGCCTTATGTAAGTAGGAATTTAGAATGTATATACATTTGGTATCGCATACTTCTGAGCCGCTTTACAAAGTTCCGTGCTTGGAAATAACTTCGGCTCACGTTATTTTGCACCTGACAACGTAATGCGTCGTCGGAGGTGTTCATTTTGTGCTTTACTAGTAAATGTCATTGGTCATGATGACAATTTTGATACTTAAAACTGAAATAAAGCAAGGCTTACCTCGTAAGGTGCTTAGCTATTTTCCCATTGGGGCACTACAATATTTCTCCTACAAATTTTTAAAGTGATTACTAATTAATTGTTTTCTAATATTACTCGTACTATTTTGGTTAATTGAAATAGATGGCATATTTAACACTTTATTTATGTGAGCGCGAATTTCTTCTGAAATAGCTGGCGCATCAATTTCGTTATGTAGATTACAAATATTGTGGAGAACCACTGTTGCCACAATAATGCTTTCTACACTCTGGGTATTCAGCCTTATACCCACCGAAAGAACCGGATCGTTCGGCGCAGTTTCTCGTTCGAATCTCAGATTCGTTATATAGCGCCTCTGCCGGATTACGAACATTGGATATTGGTGTCATTACCCACTGATTACAGGGATAACCGCTGTCTGCAACAGCCAATGAATTTCCGAATGCGCCCCCTTCGAAGCGACTATAAACGCGCGAGTTTCGAAGTATTGTGGCATCGTGTGTGGAACCAGGCCATCTAGCTACTACATCCAATATATTTAAGTCGCTGTCGCATAAAGTCTGTACGTTGTACGAAAATAACACTTTTCTGTTTTCGGTATAACTCCTATTTTCACAACGATTTCGGGTTTCTGTACCAAAACGCGTTACCCAAATCAAAATACTTTTACACACGCTTCTAGACAAAAGTCTGCAGTTTAAAAAAAAAAAAAAAATCACTATATCTGTGCACACATTTTTTAATAAGTTCGGTTTGAAATATGGGTTGGTTGAAAAACAGGTTGGCGCATCCCTTATAGACCGTGGACGTCGCATTTTAATGATGCGATCTAGAACCTTGCATTCCATGTAACTTTCGTCACTCGATCTCATTTTAATAATATTTAAATGGAACCACTTTTGCTTTTTATTTACTTATTTATATTTTATTTTGAGTAATCAGCTGCTGTTTAGTCGAGAATCAGGGTTGCATTTTCCATATTTAAATAACCTGGGTAAAAGATTGTCGTAAGCGCCATTTTGACGATTTTTAGTTCTAGATGCAGTTATATATTTTGAAATAAGGGCTTTCGATTGGTGTTATCAGTTTTCAGATATCTCCTTAAGTTTTCGAGATATTGACTACAATTTTTTCGATAATTTAGTAAAAATTTAGTTAGTGATGCAGCCATATTAAACTAATCAATATCTAATTAAGGTTTAACATTAAAAACTAAATAATTTAAGAATTTTGTGAACTAGTAACATTTTCAGAGACTTTGGAGAATATATATCTTCGCATTTTTGAGAAATTGCATTCAAAACTTCAATCGCGACTTCCCACAACCTGCCGAAATCAACATACGACAATCTTTTACCCAGGCGACGATTGGGCATTTAAATACAATTTAAATTTTAAATATTTGATCTGAAAACGAAAAACTATCAATCGGTATTTAAATAGGCCATCTGAAATTGGCCCTAAGTGGAAGGTTCTATTTATTACCTTTTGCTTTTTTGCTAGACCTAAAATATTAAAAAAAACGCGATTTCTTGACACTTTGACCTAGCTTTTCGCAAAATCTGGAGCTGATGGAAACTTTATACTTACGCATTCGTAATCAGCACAAAAAATTCGATCAAAAACAGCTCTAACATTTGCCGCAACAAACTCACTGTTGCCTTGTGTTATTGAATGTTTTCTTATTCAAATAAGTTCCTTGAAGAAAATTTTTTTTTTAACTTTATTATGCATTCAGAAATTTTTTACTGAGAAGTTGAATCATCAAAATATTTAGATAGTACGAGTACTTAAAATAAAAATGTTCTTACAAATATTTAGCGTATACAGAGAAGATCCTTCTTTAGGGCAATTTCAGTTTGATGGTTATGTTCAAAAGCTGTCTTTCGTTTTAAAAAAGAACCTTCCATTTACATACATAATTATATGCCAAATTTTATCGGCAATGTTGGAAATTAAAAATATCCATGTACTTGCGTTAAAAGTAGAGATGGGCAAAACTCGGGATTTTCTACGTGACACGTTGTGTATGCAGCTCATAAAATTTTATTGGAATAAAGTGCAAGTAGCTCCGACTTATCGTTGGTTTTGGGCAATTTTTTTTACGCTGTCATTTATTTTCTTCCGTTAAAAGTACTTATGTATGCTCGACGATTCTTTTTTATATGGAGAAAACAAAAAAATTTCCAAAAATCAACGATAAGTCGGAGCTACTTTCAACTTGCACTTCATTATAATTAAATTGAATGGGCTACAAACCTGCATACTCAAAATATTTCTCAAATACCGAATTAAAAAGATTGAAATTTTTACGAAAGTTTATTAATTTTTTAAATATTGCTCAAAGATTGACACTCATCTCTAGTTTAAAGTATACATAATAATGAGGGTTCTTTCATTTCTAAATGGCAGACATTTTTTCCATTTTAATGCCTAGAGAAAATTTGGCACTAAATTATTTAAAGACTAAATTAAATGTATTAATTAAGAGTATGTATATACCTGGGTAAATGGCCATAAATTTACTCCTTTCATCTTTTGACACCTTTACCGGCGTATACTTATTTTTCAACGTTGATAAAGTACTAAAAAGAATATTTAAAATATCATATTTGCATACAGTAAATTTCACATATTAATTTTTTATTTTTATTTTATTTTTTACTTATACATAAACCAGTGACAAGTTTATACATAGATAATACATGACTAAGACCTGACAGCCTGACTTATAAAAATAGCAATAACACCGTAGGGAGAATCTCAAGTTTCGAAATGACAAAGTGAAAAAACATTGAAACACGTAAACTTAATTTTGACTCGTTGTTTACGAATCTGTATTCTGTTTTTCTAGATCTGGTCATTGTCCAAAGATATTTAAATTTGTATCCCAAAACAAAATCTAACTTTAAGTATTGTATACATCTCTCAAGAAAAACATAAAATTCGTATAAAATTGCGCATAAGAATCGGAAAAGAAATTTGTGTCTATCTAAATTACTTAAATCAGTATGCAGCTCCCAAGAAAACAAAAATCGTATAACTACATATCGACTGCTGAGTGGAAAATCGACCTATCTCGGCAGCCAGTTCGAAAACGCTCTATCTCAAAAAAATTTTCAAGAACGCCCTATTTCAGATTTTTATTGAAAAACACCATATCTCGGAATTCGGTTCAAAAACGCCCTATCCTACTTCAAAATGTATTGAAAATGTGCTGATATAGGGCGTTTTTGAATCGGCAGCAGAGATAGGGCGTTTTTGAAACAAATTCTGAAATAGGGCGTTCTTGAAAAGTTTTTTGAGATAGGGCGTTTTCGAACTGGCTGCCGAGATAGGTCGATCTTCCACTCAGCAGTCGATATGTACTTACATGGTTCAATAATAAAAGGTTTGCTCAGAAAACAGTTTTCTGGCTCCCTCTTGACAAAATCGGCTCCCTTAGCAAGGCACTGTATGTGAGTTCATGTTTGTGTGCAAAGCTCTTGAAAGGGAGTTAAGGGAGTGTCAAAACTCCCTAGTGTCACTAGTGAGTAAACCTTTAATTATTGAATCATGACAACGTACAGTTACCTTATACGATGTTCGCATGAGGCGATTTTACAGGCAACTTTTAGTTGAAAGCAAAAATCGCCTGATGTGAACGGCCTTTCAACTAATCGGTTCCAATGAAGTTGGGGTGCAGCCAACTTTTGATTCAACTAATCGCCTTTAAAATTTCCTGGAAAATCGCCTCATGCGAACACCGTATAAGTAAAAACACTATGAGCTGGTTGCCAAAAAATGCCTACAGCTGAGATCACCTGTTTTTGGCATTCGTTCTTAATCATTTACAATTTCATTCATTTCTATTACTACCCTGCAGTACGGGGAGCGACTACAGGACTGATGAATCGGTAGCTACCTGTTAAACTCCGTCAATTACCGACCGACTACTTGCAGTGTATTTCATCGATTACTTTTATAAGGCAATGTCCTAGGCGGTAGTCACCATCGGCTCTCTCTGCACTACCGGGCTGCGAGCCAACGACGCACATAAAATTTCATTGACTAAGTGCGTACATATCATTAAATCGTTAATAGTACCCGTTGGAGATGAGTTGGGGACTAATTGATCTCCAATTATACCCATAAGGGATGAGCCGAGACCAATTGATCTCCATTAGTACCCGTATGAGACTAGTTGCGACTAGTTAATGCCCAATTGTACCCGATTGAGAGTAATATCGGAATACTCTCTTTAGAGATTAGTCGCACAATTTTTTGCAGGGACATTACTTATGGAACTATACGATGGTCATGATATAGAAGGATTAAATATATGACTGGCAAGGGTTTTCAGAAATAGTAAAAAAAATATTAAAATTAATATTTACTTACCGTTTTGATATGCCCAGTTGAGTTTGACGTTCTGTCCGAGTACTCGTAATCAAATCCCCAATATTATAATTGTTAGCTTCGAATGTACCCAGATGATGTGATATTGGCCGATAGGGAAGAGTTTTATTGTTTAGGTATATACCACAGGCGCTAACAGTGGTAGCCACATTAGAGTGTAGCTGTGGCTGTCTAAGTATTATTGAAAGCATTTTTGTTGTGTTTCTACGATATAGCAAATGAAATTAATTTACATTTATTCTCTACTAGATGCTTACTTAAAATGCTACTCCGCAAAATACAAAATAGAGAATAGGATCTGAAAAAAGGATCAGTGCAGTGCCTTTGTCTTCACCTGGAGGCTGTGTCGGAGCCACAGCCACTAAACTTAAACGTTAACATTCAAGCTAAAAACGGTATATGAAATATTCGTTTTGATTGTATTGAATTGACTTTAATAAATCAATATGAATTGCAAAATAATAATAATTAGCGGATTCACATTAACTTCAATCATTTGTACCATCAGCCACATACATTTGACATGACGTGTATAACTACTTGGATTCATTTTTATCTCCTTTCATACTGCAGAAATTTGTATTACTTTTTATATTAGCCTAGGTCCCCGTATTAGTATTCTTCTTCGTGTTCGTAAGACTTCTGAAATAGCTGGCAACCCTCCTAAATATAGTTAAGAAATAAAAAAATCTTGTGCGTCTGATATTGTGATACCTACAAACTTCATGTGCCTAATGAATTAAGTTAAATTTGCGTTTTTAAGTACGTGACAATGCTCCCAAATACTGTTAATTGACACCCATATTTTTAATAATTGCTTCAACTTATTAAATAATTTGAGTTTACCTTTTTAAACAGGTGGCAATTCTACTCAAAATGTTCATTTCACGTCATATTTTAATATTTTAATTAGCTTATGCTTACTTTATATTAAATTCCAATTTTAAAAAATATGGCAACCCTATTCAAAATATTTTAAAACTAAATTCTTTTTAAACCTTTATCGACTTACATATTGCGATACAAATTGAAATTTTGTATATAACTCCCTTAATTCAAGTTGAAATTAATTTCTAAAACACATGGCAACCCTCTTAAATAAAGTTCAGAAGAAAATATTTTTAGCCCATGTTAATGAATACACATGCTTTAATAATTCATTTGACTTATTTAAACAATTTGAGTTTAACTTTTACACAGGTGGGAACCCTCTTTAATGTAAAAACGTTCAAACTAAATATATTCCTTTACTCCTTTGTTTCACCCCATATTCAATATTTCATATAACTTAATTCGAATTTTCAAACAGATGGCAATCCTGTTCAAATTATTTTTAAACCAAAACCTTGTTAAACCGTTTTTGTCTGACACTTGTATTGTGATACATATTTAAACTATCTAATACTCTTAATTCAAATTGAATGTAATTATAAAATCAGGTGGCAACCCTCCTACATGCAGTTGAGAAATAAGTCTCTTCAAAGCAATTTTGATTTATATTCATATTGAAGTAATTTATTTAACCTATTGCTTATATTGAATCTAACTTTTTAACATGGTGGCAACCCTCTGCAAAATATTTTCAAACCACAATCTCTTTCGTCGGATATCCATATCAGGATATACATTTACATTTTTCTACATATAATTAAGAAATAAAGTTTTTTCAAAACCATTTCGATCGATACTTATAGTGTAGTAATTTCCTCAACTTAAAATTAATTTGAATTTAATTTTTTAATCAAGGAGCAACTCTTTTTGAAAAAAAAAGAAGTTATTGCACATCCACAGGCCGAGCCCTTTATGATACCTTATTTTGTAAAATCGAACGAACGGTACAGATCTGATATGACGAAGAAATTTTCGCGTTATGAATTCATATGTACATACATAAATTACTAAAAAAAACCGATCCACAATAACCGCAACCAACATATGNCCCGATTGCGTCTGCATGACTCCTGCACGACTTTACAATTCACTTTAAGTTGGTTTTGTCATAGCTAATTAAAAGAGAGGTCTTAATCGAAATCTCGCCGAAAAGCTAACTATAAGTTGGTTAGTTTTAACAATTGATAATTTTTCACTGCAGGGTATGTATGTACTTACATACATACACTGCGATTAGGTTATAAGTACTGCGCCATCTGTTACTCAAAAGCTGATATACCTACACGCACATACTCTTTGTCTCCTTCTCTCACTTCCAGCGCAAGCACGTGTTTGCAAAATGATGAAGAAGTGATTTTGTATGGAAAATCGATAGGTTTGGAATTTTATCTTTGGAACGCCACACTTTTCTTTGATATCGCTTCATTAGTTCTCGTGCAATAAGCGTTTTCGTGAAGCTCTAAAAATTACATTTACAACATTTGAGCATGTCCTCCATAATTAAGCAATTTTTCGTTCATGATAAGATATTTATCTGAGACCCTACTTCTCCAAATAAAGTCTGTTTGTGCATTTAAGGAATTAAATCAGAATTGTCTGGCTTTATGAGTAAGGTTCAAAGGTAAAGCAACTTTCAGTCTACACTTGAAGGCTTTTATTCAAAGTGCATATGTATATCAATCCTCGAATATGTTAGAAATAGGAGCGATGAAAGTATATTTCCGAGTATTCATATGGTACTAATGTCTGCCTCCTTATTCAGAGCCATAAGTGAGCGGCCGGCTGTCCGGGCAAATGGCGAACCGTTCGCCTTGGCAATGGCGTAAACTACCAAACAGCATTTAGCTATTGCAGGGTCAGAACGATGAATCACCGCTACTTTTAAACACAGCGATTCAGAGAAACATTTTGGTAAAACTAGGGGTCCCAGGTCGGAGCTATCAGGCGGAGGTATTAAAATCTCTGTCCCAGTCGGCTCTCGACGGAAGAAGGACCCCCGAAGGACCTGTGAAATTTCTATTATCGATGTACAGTTTTATCTTTGGCGGTAGTCGAGAAAACGAAAGTAGGAAAACACACAAAAATTTTTTGGGTTGGGCCACTTCTGCTAACATGGCCTCACATATATAGTAAATCTGAAAGTTATTTTTTACCAGGAACAATAAGGCTATACTCTTTCTCCCGTTTAATTTGGCGTGGAAAATACACTATTTTTATTAACTTAAAGTCTAAATTTTTTAACTTTGGTTTTCATATAATAACGCCTATTTCTAGAATATTCCTTGATTGAAAAATTAGTGAAATAAATGTTGTTAACGAAGCGATATTCTGCCGAAATCCGCAATAAAGTCCGCGTTTTGCTAACTTTAGTCCTGCAATTGCCACGCCCATTTCTAAGGGTTTGTCGCCATAAAGAAAAATCTTGCCGCACAAATATTTTACCTGGATAGGTATTCTATCGGAATCTGCAATAAAAGTTAAATTCTTGCCAAAGCCCGATGTTTAACACCTTACTAAATATATCTCAACATAAGTTTTCGAAAACAAATTACAAACAATTTTTGTTTCTCACAAAATAAACCATCTCACCATAAAGAAAAGTATTTTAAAAATAGTTCTTGAAAAATGCCAATTTTTTTGAACCGCGCTTTTTATGGAGAACTAAACAAGGATTACGATGGTATAATTTTAAATCCCTAACTTACTGGCCTTCACTATGCAAATCAACTTCAAAAAGTTCAACTGTTAATAGCTAAATTACCTTTAGGACAATCTTGACCATCTTATATGAAGAAATGTTAAGTCCGTTTCTTTAGCTTTAAAACGACGTTAAGATGAAGTCTATACGATGCGCAGAACCCGAGATATTTTAGCGATTTGAAGGAGTACATGATTAGTCAGAATGACGAAAAAATGCAAAATTTTAACAGATATATGAGTAAATTTTCTGCAAAAATATTCCGACATATGCAATCAATCAGATTCGACCATAACTAACATAGATATATAAATAACTTTTAGTTTTTGACTATAGAGACCGTCTCCTGGAAAAGCCCATATAAAATGTTGTACTTATGGAATCACGTACATCCTTTGGAACTGTAATTATACAGTATATTACATAGAAGTACATAATAAAAAAAAAATATTTCTAGACCAAAATTGTGGGCGCACTGTGCGTCATTCTCGTAGTTTTGTTCCCAAGAACGCTTAAAAATTCAAATCGAAATGAGAACAAAAAGATAACTATATAAGAAGGAAACCCTGTGGAACGTTGCCAAAGAGAACAAAATGCGAACAATACTTTCGCCAACATTTCTAAGAAATCAAAATCGGAACAAAAGTCTCCAGAAAGTTCTGGCAAAAAACGATACAGAAAAAAAAATCCGAGGAACATTCCCTCGAAGAACAATTTGGGAGCTAAAGTCTTAGGAAATTTTCTGACAGAGAACGAACCGGCAACAAATCTTCCCTAAACTTTTCGCGAAGAATAGAAGCGAGAACAAAATTTTTCTCATAGCGTTGCATTAGTTTGAAATTTTTGAATATTAACATTAATCGAAAAATAACTGAAAGATAATTATGCACAGACTTAAAACACGAACTTTTCTTGAAAATGAAATAGAAGAATTTTCCATAAATTGACAGTTCAACTTAATGATGAACGATCTGAAAGTTGAAATTATCCAACTTTTCTCTGGCTTAAAATTAACAATCGTGGTTTTCACGAAACCATTTTTCATCCCAATACGCAGGCGAGCCTCTCACTGTTAGCGTTAGGTTCTATTTAAGAACATTTGTTCTCGATTTGTGCTCCAGCGGAACGTTAACCAGACCTTTGTTCTTATT